CGGTCCGAGGGTCGGGGGGTGCCACCGTCCTCCCTGCCTCTCCAACTGTTCGGAGTTAGGCCTGTACCCGAATAGTTTTATTTATATTTGCATGTTTACTAATTGTATACACCTGCATATGGAGGTGTGTGTGTTTTTATGGGTCATGTATGTCGCATGTGTGTATATATGCATGTTACATACACGCTCTGCGGGGCGCCACGTGGAGCTTGCAGGAGTACCTTCAGTTGTTCCTTGAGCGCCTGCTATGCGCCAGGCGCTGTGCTAGGCACTTGGGATACAAAAGAACGAAATTTCTGCCCTCTTGGTTTCCCCGCTGCGCAAATGCACGGGTATTTGTTGCTCCCTCTTTGGGGTCCGACACTGAGCTAGGCACTGCATAGTGGGAGAGATGAAACGCTGCAGAGACTGCTATTAAGGATCTCACAAGAGAGAAAGTGGGGCAACCACGTGGGTTCACATACCTTGGTTTACCCCAGAAAAACTTGTACTGCCCGAAGGGGATTCAAAGGTGGGAACAGTGATGGGGCATCGGAGGTAGGATCAGGAAAGATTCTTAGGGCAGGTGACATGAAGAAGCCTTGAATGATGGGTTGTGGCATGTGCACTTGATCTGGTGAAAATGGGGATATATTAAATGTTTACAAGCAAAGGAATTCTTGTGATGAGAGCTGGTTTGGTTTTGGTTTTGGTTTTGGTTTTTTTTGTTTTGGGGGGTTCTTTTTGCTTTAAGATAACTGTCAGCAGAATGATGATTATTTGGAAAGAGGTAAGCAAAAAAGCCAGATAGGAAATTTGCAATAATCTATGGAAAGCAATAAGATCCTATGGTAGTAAAATGGCATTGGTGAATAAAAAGAGAGTAGATGGATTAGTGTTACATTTCCGCTGTAGAATCTTCCGGAGCTGGCAAGAGGTTGAATTTCATTTTCCTACCTAATTATGTTTTACTTAAATTATTATTTAAATTAGTTGGCACTCCTACAGCAGGCCAAAAACATCCTAACTGAAAGGCGAAGCCAGATTGCAAATTAAAAGTCAATAATCCCCACGTGGATAATTGAGTCAATTATACAGTGTGCTGAACACATACAAATACATTTAGTTCCACAGCACTCCACATACTCCCCAACTGGTGCAAGATGTAAAAAAAGGTGGATCTGAATCTACATAAATTATAGGTTCTGATACAAACACATTACCCTACCTAACTTTTAAAGAATCCCAGTTCAATCGCCTTTTGAGTCATTTTCCATTTGTCTTGATCCGTTGCCAAATTAGAGCCACTAACCAGCTAAAACCCTCTGTAATCTCTAGTGAAGTTTTGGTCCTCCTCAGTTACCTTCAAAACCATAGCTAGGATTTTGAGCAAAAGAGCATCAAGTTGGAACAAAGCATTTAACCTCGCTGTTTCCCATTCCTGATCTGCAAAATGGGGGCAAGAACAATGTCTGCTCCCCTGCACTGTGGTGAGAATTGTGTAAGGTGATGCATATGTACAAGAAGCACTCTACCCTCCCTCATTAAGCAAAGCGCAGGCTTCCAAGGTTTTAGCAAAAGAGTGTCTCCACTGGATACAGAGGCCTCTCATTCCAATTCTTTTCATTTTCACTGATGGGGTGATGATTTCTTATTGCCACTTGCCAAAAAGGCTTGATGCAGTAAATAATTTTATCCCTTAAATGAGACTCTCACCCAAAATATTTCTGTGGTCTCTGGAATATAGGCATATATATCCATTAAAAAAAAAAAGTCCTTGTAGTTGTCTACCTGTTGCCACCTGCTAGAGAATAGGAAATGTACCTCCTGGAGACATAATCCCATAATCACACTTTACCCCTGATCCCCAAACTTGTCGGTGCATCTTTATGATGGATCCAGAGCCCAGATCTGCTGCCCCTGACCTTTTATGGCTACTAAACATGCTGAATGCCCCAGTTTCTTTCATGCCTTTGTCTTCATTGCAAACTTCCAACAATTCACTTGTTTCTTTTTTACATTCTGTGTTAGCCTGGGTTCTCTAGAAAACAATCTGATTACATGCTAGTGCTTCACTGGGTACTATAATTGTAGGGAAGTGGGAGTGAGGGCAAAAGGGAAGGAAGGAAGGAAGGAAGGAAGGAAGGAAGGAAGGAAGGAAGGAAGGAAGGAAAGCAAATACAAGGTGGTATGTTATCCAGCTGGTTACAGCTTCAAAACCTAGCTCTTTTCTTGGTACTGTGGGGTATTCTGAGAGAGACTATGTCCAGTCATTGTGTCTTGGAATAGCCAGGAGGTAAGCGTGAGGGGAGGAAATTTGTCTGCAGACTCTTTTATATCTCCTCTCTCTTGTTGGTCAATATTTGTCCTATAGCTCATACCTCCCCTGAACTTCTGGGGGATGTCCCTGGTACCTCTAAACAAGCACTGGAAAATCCAGAGCTTCCATGAGTCCAGTCTGGTGGAGCAGGAACTAAGTCCTGGAGCTGCAGGAGAAGAGGAGTCCATGGCCTAATCCCTAACCATACCCACCTCCAGATGTCTCCTTCTCTACCCCCTGCCCTAGTAAGGGTGGCAGCAAGTGGCAGGGGCTTTATGGCTATGGGAAAAGGTGAGTTCCCAGGGACCACTTTCTTGGAAAGCAAAGCAACACACTGAAGCCTAGGACATAGTAGGCTGAGCATATCTGGGGAGGTACATACGGTAACTTGGAGACAGTTTTAGTCCTTGAGTGGAATCTCAACACAAGAGTTGCCTGGGTCCTGAGTGCTTCAGCTCTTTAATGATGTAGCTTTTCAATTCACATGTGCCTAGTTGTTTTACCAAAGTCTGTCACAGCACAGGTTGGAGTAAGATTGGTGACAGCCCTCCGCTGTGTCAGGAGAGTTAATACTTCCTTCTAGGTGTGATCTTTGTCCTGTTTGGAGCTACTCCCTTTTGGTGGATTCCTTCTCAAGGACTCTGTGCAGTCTCCTGCAACATAGCCTCAGTCTGTACCCACCCTCTCGCCTCTAGGCGTGATTTATATCTTTAACACTCAATGAAGTAGACCAAAGTCTGAGCCTTTTTCCCCAGAAGTCTCCTCCAACCCTTAAGTAAACCCTAGGTACAACAAGAAGCCCTGCCCAAATCCATCCTTCAACATCCCAGCCACAATGAAAATATCTTTGGAGGAAGGGTAACACCTACTTACCCACCAGGACAATATCTGAGCCCCAGGAACTCAGTCCAGCTGAAATGACCTTTCAAGTAGGTTCTTGAAATACCAGTATATATTGTCAAATAGGGGGGTACAGGTATCCCATTATGTACCCTAGATTGTTCTGTCAATGGGTTAGCTAGGTATCTGGACCGGGCCCTTCAGATTGTAAAAGTCTGTAGTCCTACACTCACCTTCAGTTTCTCAGGTGCATTTACCAAAGGTAGTTTAGAAGCACTGGCAGAGGACTAACACTACTTGCTACCCATGTCCTATCCCCAGATGACAATCAAATACAAAATTCATATTCAGCTGCTTTGTCACATTTTGCTTGCAGAAGCCACTGGCCCAGTTTTCCCCCTTCCCACCATGCCGACACACACCTCCCCCCTCCACACCATCACTCAGTGTTTAGCCTGTTTTTAGCTCTGCAGTCAGCACTTGCCTCATAGGTGTGAGAGAACCAATTGGGATAAACTGAAGAACACACCCTTCTAAATGGTTAATGTGTAATTGTTTGTTTCACACTTTCTCTCCGGATTCTCAAGGGAATAAAGTTTTGAAATTATATATTTTTATTTATGAGTTGGTTATGTGAATGTTCCTGTTTAATGTAAGATATATCAAGAATAAGCGATGCATGAATATAATGAATTCTTTGAAACTTCCATACCAGGTTGTGATGTAGAAAGGAAGCAAGAAACTTAGAAAATAAAGAAAAAGTACTATTAAAGCTGCAGGCCACTTTTGCCCATAAAAAAAAAAAAACACATTATTTATGTTCACCCACCCTTAACTAAATGGAGGATTGGGAAGAGTATGAGAGGTAAGTTTTTTTTTTTAATGTAGCAAAAATATACTTTGTAATATATAAACAGATCCCTGTCTAATCTACTCTCAAATTTAAAGTTGAAAACCATCTCAAATTATCACCCCTCATTTTAATTTGCACCTAGTTTTCTCCATTCTACCTCCCAGAGGCCTGTTCCATTAACAGGACTGATATTTACACATAAGATGTGAGAGAGATTGAATGGTTTCTTCAGTAATTTTCACCAGTGAACACAGTTTGAAAAGAATGAGATGGTGCTCCCCATAGAGACAGGTTAAGCGAGGCACAATTACAGATCCGCTTCTACCCAATGACTAGTAAAGGAAATAAAAATAGCAAACAACACAAACAGGCTACAGAAAAAAGAAAAATCCATGCATCAACAGCACACAAACCAGGAAAGAAGCATAACTTAATCACACACTCGAAAAAAAGTCTGCTAAGAAAAGACAGAATATCTATGTGTATTGGCTAAGCTGGAATCTAAAGGTGATTCCCGA